TGTGTGTGTGTGTGTGTGTGTGTGTGTGTGTGTGTGTGTGTGTGTGTGTGTGTGTGTGTGTGTGTGTGACGGAGACGTTGGCAGCGACCCAGTGACGGATCCATACAGACGTCAGATAAAGGCGGCTCTGTTCAGCTGAGTGAGAGGCGGACGGGGGCCGTATTATAAACATGCAGCCAAAGGGTCTTGATCGCCCCCTGGTGACTGGCTGTAGCACAGTCATAAACCCTGCCTCCTCCATGTTAGCAGATGGGAACAGGAACAAATCTACATCCACGTTAAATAAAATCAAAGACGGTCTCTGTCATTTAACCTCGTTCTTCTTCTCACACTGATGTTTGTTCATGTTTCTGATGAATGCTCCTCCTCCTCCTCCTCCTCCTCCTCCTCCTGCAGCTCTGTCCGGAGGTCTGCAGGGCCAGAGCACCTCCTCCGTCAGCTCAGAGATCAAGTCTGAGGACGAGGGCGACGAGAACCTCCTGGACTCGAAGCCTCTGGATCCCAAGAGGGAGGACGCCGACGCAAAGGAGCTAAAAGCTAATGACAGGTCAAGATCTAGGTAACGCAGCCAACCTCAGACGTTCGCTTGTATCAAACCCCTCAGCTGGGCTGGAACCATCGTCTCAAAACACATGCGGGTTCAGAGAACTTCCTTGTTGCTCATCATTGATAAAACTAAACCTCTCAGCAGAAAGTTTCATGTGTCTCATTGATTCTGAGTCACGAGGAAGAGAAATTCAGCATCTACATGAGATAGAACCATAAAACAGAAGATCTGATCATTTTCTAGAGAAACGGACAAAGAGTTGAGTTAAAGTCAGTTTCTTTCATAAGACAAAGTAAAAATAAGTCGTGTTTTTGGAGAGAGAGAGGACGCAAGGAAGGACTTTGACTCGCGTGTGCTTTGGGAACCAGCCTCTGGACTTTGATGAAGTGACCAAGTGTGATGAGAAGCAGCTAAAAACATCAGTTAAACCAGAGACCACATGACGATACGAACGATCCGTGTCCACCAGGCTTCTCTCTGTCGGGGACGAGAGGTTCCTGGTGGACGTGATCCCGTCGGTCTCTCCAGGGTCTTGAGCCTGGTTTTAACTGTTTCTCACACAGGAGAGTAGAGCCAACAGTCAATATTCTCAAAGAAGTGATGCCTCGCATTCAGAGCTGGGAAAGAAAAACACAAATAAAACGATTATTCCCGCAGTTGGCAAGAACAATTACAGGAATTAGTTCTTTTTAAACTTGAAAAGTGTTGTTTCCCGTCCTGAATCGGCTGAGCAGCCTTCATCCCTCCAGCGAGAAACAGGTTCAGCTTTCACCGAGAGGACGAACGACATTAGAAACATTTGGATCCCAAACCCAAAGATTGTTCATGATGGTGGCGGTCATGATGATGATGATGATGATGATGATGATGATGTAATTGGTTGGGAAACACATGCTGATGAAAACTTTGTTGTTCTTTGTTGTTATTTGTAATTCTGCTCATTTTATCTACTTTTTTGCAACACGTCCATTTTCTAACATTTCCTGTTATATCCTGGTCGCTATCGCCCCCTACAGTTAAAGAGCAGCTCTGCTGAGTGTGCAACACACACACGTGATGGTGAGAGTGAGAAACAAACGAATATTGTAATATCACGTTTCAGCATATTCAGAAAACTTCTGCGATGAATCCATATTGTGAAGTGGATTCTCACTGTGGAGTAAATTATTCTTCTTTGTAATAAATAGGATAATGAGGTGTCTCTACCATAGAAACACTCAAGCATGTAAATCAAATCACATATTCTGTGATCGTCTGTATTTCCCATTCAACCTTAACGATTTAGAATTAAAACACAAGACAAAGTCAAGTTTTATTAGATTTAAATTAATTCTCTTTGTCGACTGTAATAAACCAAACTTTTATTTATGCTGAGAAACTAAAATATTCGATTTAAATGTTTCTGTCTTCGTGTTGAAAATATCATTTTGTCAACATGAAACATGGCAAATTACCCAGAATGCAATCCCTGTTCGTAGTTATTTTTCAACAATCAGGTAAAATTCAGCAGGTTTTTTTATTAACATCAGATTCTCCACAGAAATTCAAATTTGAGCTTTCATCCTCAATCCCTCCTTTCTTCCTCTCCTCCTCTCCTCTCCCCGTCCCCTGTGTCTCTCCTCTTTCTCCGCCTCTTTGTTGGTCACCGTAGCAACAACGAGGACGAGGACCTGTCTCCGGAGCAGAAGATGGAGAGAGAGCGGGAACGGAGGATGGCCAACAACGCACGGGAACGCCTGCGCGTCCGCGACATCAACGAGGCGTTCAAGGAGCTGGGCAAGATGGTGCAGCTGCACCTGAAGAGCGACAAACCTCAGACCAAGTTACTGATCCTGCACCAGGCCGTGGCCGTCATCCTCAGTCTGGAGCAACAAGTCCGAGGTCAGGTTCTAAAGAAAGACGCGTGACCTTTGACCCCAACGCAACAGAGAGACTGCACCTGATCTGCTTTTTGCTCATTTGCATGTTTTTGCTAGAAATACTGACGTCACTGCTTGTTCGATAAAAAAAGACAAACTCCCTTGTTTTGAATTGACGGTCTCAAATTCAATTATCTGAACTTTAAAAGTCCTAAAAAAACTTTAAATTTAACGTCCTAGATACTGACACTGTCTTAAAAACGTTTCACCTCACTTTGGAGCAGAGCCTCTCACTTACAGCACATGCAGTACTGCAGCAGCTCCAGTAGAGGGCAGTAGCGGTGTTTGACCTCCTGACTCAGAAATAAAAAGCATCACTGAGAAGAGAGAGAACAACTCCTGTGTTTCCTCCCTGCAGAGAGGAACCTGAACCCCAAGGCGGCCTGTCTGAAGCGCCGCGAGGAGGAGAAGGTGACTGTGACGTCGGACGGGACCCCCCTGTCGCTGGCAGCCGCGCACCACGCCGCCGCCACCGTCATGGGCGATGGGTCGAACCCCATGGGACAAATGTAAAACGCAGCACCACCTCCTCCCCCCCTGAATGGTCAGAAGATTTCACTTATAAACTAATCTGCTGTTGTACCTTTAACTCTAAGATTTAAAATTCAGAAACCAGCTCAGAAACTTTGATCATTTTAAAAATCATCTGCCCCAAGAAATGAAATTGGAAACCAAACGTCCCCACAATGAAAACAAGTGTTCAGGTTGTAATTCTATATCGTGACACTTCTGATGATTGGAAAAAGGAAATTCTCTCTTGTTTGTGTTTTTTTAAATCAGCAGCTTCCTGCAGAATTTAACTGGTTCAGTTTTCATCACTAAAACTAAAATGACACAAACAACAAGTTGATCAATTCTCATCCAGATCAAAAACATTCCTGATTATTTGACTCAATTTCTAGAGAAACATTTTTCGGTTCCTGACGGTTAAGTTCAGTCGGAGCTGATGATAAAAAGCGAGGTTCTGTCTGGTGCAGGTACATTTGAACAACAGATTGGCAGTAAGTGTGATTTTAATGTGTGTCATGTGTGAACGTGTCTTCGTCCGTGTTCTCGATCCCGTCTCTTCACGGTCCGACTGTGTTTCTGTTTGCATGTGTGAAGTTGAGCTTGTTCTGATGTTAATGACGAGGAGTAGTGACCACGAGACAAAACCACACATGGAGAAAAAACTGTTTTCTTTTATTGATTCATTGAAGGTTTGTTAAAGTTTCATATTATTTCAGAACATTTCTAAGCATTTAAATTGGACGACAGGTACTAAAACACTTGGTCGTGTACTTTCCTTCCTTGTTTGGTGTTTAAAGTATTCCTCGTATTATTTTGTGGACGTAATAAAGATACTTGTGTGTTTTCTTTCTTACAAGCAGCCGGTTGATCTCTGTCCATTTCTAGGAAAATTACTTCTGTAAACATTTAGGAAACTCGTTTTATTCCAGTATCTCCCTCACAGATAATCACAGAATTTGGAAAAAGCTTCTCGTCCGTGCATCAGAAAACTCCAACATCCAAAACGTGAATCAAATCAACAAACTAAAAAAATGTGAAACTAATTTGGCTTAAGAATTTCGTGGTCACCAGAGGCTGGATCCTAATTGTTTGGTGATTCTTGACGCCTCCTCTGGCATCATCTGAACCAAACACCTGCTCGGTCCTGCTCCCCAGAGGATTCACCTCCATGAATATTTTCGCTCCTGATTGGACAGACTTTTTAAGCCCTGTTGTTGTGGCGTGTAATAGAAACTGCCACCACTAGGGGGCTTTGGAGTGAATAAGTGAAGAAAGTTTTCCGTGTGTTTTTTCTTTCCTTCTTAATTTACTCTCACTCTTCTCTTTTCTTTTCGTCCGTCCAGGTCGAAGGTGCCAGAGTTCATCAAGATGATGAGTGACCACTTCCTCTGACGCTGTTTCCATAACAACCCAGCAATCAATCAAACCCGTTGTCGCTTCAGCCTGACCAATCAGATCAGCCTCTCTCTCTCCTCCCGTCTGTTGTCTCTGATCCTCCTCCTCGCCTCTGTCTCCCACTTCTGTCGAGAACACGAACTGCAGAGTCACGTTAGTCGCTTTCGTCACTTTGCAGCTGAAGTGAACCGGACGCTACTTTTGGAGACGTTGAAACCGTCACGTGGCTGCAACGGACAAAAGTCTTTGGAATCACATCATCCAAGAAATTCTTCTTGTACTTCTTGTTTTATCAGCATTCCCAGTTTTACTGAATAAAAGGGTTCTATAT